CAGGTGGGTCTCAAACCCGCGGGCTCAGGCAACCCACTCACCTCAGCCTCCCAAAGGCGCGAGATTACAGGCTGAGCCACCGAGCCCAGCTTAAAATATATTATCTTGAGTGATGCCAAACCTTGATTATCTGTACTGTATTTAGGTTCATTAATCATCCTCCTACTCCTAGAGTCAAACTTCTTAGAAGAGAATGTAGAAATTCTACAAGTAACAACTGTCTATTAATAAAGCCTCTTTGCATAAATAGCTAATATTATATCAACAAATTCATATTGTTATTAGTAAAAGATATTGCAACAACTCACCTGCTATTCTCTTTAGGACTACTACTTCCTTGTTCATCATCATCACTGAAATTCAGCTGTTCTGTATAATCTACTTCCATCTGAGCACCTATTAAATAAGGAAAACTCAGACTGACTGCTTAAAGCATCTAACAATGTAAAAGCACTTAACTAACTTTGCCTTCTTACCTGCCCAACCTTCATCAGCTTCAGCATCAAGGTTATCAAATTTATCAAGTTCCTTCAGTTCTGATGCACTAAGAATGGATGGACGTTCAGGCTCAGAGGCCCATGAAGGAGGTGGGCCTCTTCCTCGAAGGCCTCTAATGAAGGGGGAAGTCATAGTGGGAAAAGATACAAAGTTTTAATGATACTAATTTAGGAGAATATCAAAAGATTGGAATTAGTTCATTTCAATTCAACATTAGTTTTCTACACCTGGATACACAAAATGGTTGGCACTGACATGTGTGTGAAAAAATTAATATTAATACATAATTATGGGACAATACAAAAAGGTGGCAAAAATGTATACACACTTCAAGAAAGAAAAAAACTGTATTAAAATTGTAATACTCATCAATATATACCGATAACAAAAGATAACTGTCTCATTTGACTTCTGCAACTACAAGAGGTACTCGACATTCAGACACTTCTAATTAGGGCAAACTAAAAGTAAAACATAGATAACATCTCTTAAAATGTGTATACATTTTTGGCACCCTGGTATAATTCTTATGTATATTTTCAAAAGCTTTTAGACAAAGTTTAAGACTTCACAAAGATTACATGCCAAAGCATAACAATATAATTAAAACTAATCTCGGCTGGGCACGGTGGCTCAAGCCTGTAATCCTAGCACTTAGGTGACAGGATTGCATAAACTCAGGGGTTCAAGAACAGCCTGGGCAACTTGGTGAGACCTCGTTTCTACAATAAATCAAAAAGTAAGCTGGGCATGATAGTGCACGTCTGTAGTTCCAGCTACTTGGAAGGCTGAGGTAGAAGGAACTCCCGAGCCCAGCAAGTCAAGGCTGCAGTGGCTGGGAGCATGCCACTGCACTCTGGCCTGGGAGACAGAATGAGACTCCAACTCAAAAACAAACAAACACTAATCTCAAAATATATAACTCTATAAGAAAAATAATCATTCAAGAGGATGAAGGAAGGAAGGAAGGAAGGAAGGAGAGTCATCAATTTCAGGGCCATGATTTTCAGTTAAAAGAATCTTATGTTAATTAATTTAAATTCCTAAAAGAAGGAAGTATATTTTTCTGTCTTATAAGAGTTAGACAATTATTTGTTAATGGAGACTGTATTTCCCAGATAAATATTTTTTTCAATCATTACAATACACTCAATCTTCAGAAAATTTCAATGAACATATGTATTCCTTGCAAACTATAATCATTTCTGGCCAGGCATGCTGGCTCACACCTGTAATTCCAGAGCTCTGGGAGACTGACATGGGAGGAGTTCAAAGCCAGCCTAGGCAACAAAGTGAGACTCCTGCCTCTACAAAAAAATTTTAAAATTAGCCAGATGTGGTGGTACCTGTAGTCCCATCTACTTAGAAGGCTGTGGCAGGAGGATCACTTGAACACAGTGAGCTGCAATGGTGCCTCTGCACCCAGCCTGGGTGACAGAGCAAGACCTTGTCTCTAAAGAGTTATTTAATAGTCTTACTTGTTTGTTTCAGATAAAGAAGGTGGGAATCTCATGGGACCATGCAGAGGAGGATATGCCATCCTTGGATACTGCTGAAACATCTGAATGAAGGAAACAAAAAAAAAAGTTGATAAATTTAGTTATTTAAAAAAAAAATCAGTTTAACTATGACGGTCTAGGCCTGAAGTTATAATTTATTTAGAAATAATAATTAAAATGAATAGTATTAATAATGAGTTTTATGTTAGCACAGTTCACCATTCATCCTTAATAGCAACTCATTTGCAAAACTACTGCCTCCACCAAGTTTGTACAAATAAAGGTAATAACTAGGGCATACCACACAAAGAACTTATCTCACTAGTGAATTATATAAAAATAATTGTGTAATGACAACATACATAAACACATGGACCCCGGGTAAGAACAGTTGAAAGACAAATAATTTGAGCCTAAATATCACCATAAAGCAGGCACCGATTTTCTATGAGTAGGGCACAGGTGGGTTCTCAGTCAAGTTACTGCACAGATAATTATAAACTGAGGCCCCAACAAATCATGTTGCTTTCTGTGGGAACTCAGCTCTGAGAAGATAAAACTAGGAGAAGACATAAGATATATGAGGACACAGACATATAAGAACAATAACATTAAGGAATTCATCCTATGATTTTGAAGGAAAGACGTGTCAAAGAGTGCTTGCTCATTTACTAATTGCTTATATCCCAGCCGAGATTAGTTTTAATTATATTGTTATGCTTTGGCATGTAATCTTTGTGAAGTCTTAAACTTTGTCTAAAAGCTTTTGAAAATATACATAAGAATTATACCAGGGTGCCAAAAATGTCATATTATGTGAATAATAGAAAATTGTATTACCTTATATATATAATTTGCATCCTGAAATAAAAGATTAGTTTTTTTCTAAAAAGAAAATAACTGTGTTAGATGAGGAAACTGCCTTACAGTTGAAGAAAGGCTCTATTTATATGATTATACTATCTAAAGAAGAAACGTCTAAGTTGGGTTGAAGCAAAGTTAATTAAGCAGCAGCTGAAACTCAGTTGGAAAAGCCTATTGTGTAGGGAATACTTTGGAGAACTTCTGGTTGCAGCTCACTTCTATACTAAAGTTAGTAAATGCACTATAGGTATCTATAGGTAAAGTGGCATTAGATCCTTTTTCTGATAATTCAAACATAAAGATTAGTTTCATGTGGTCTTAAATGCTTAAAATTTAGGAGTTTGCCACAACGTTAGCTGTAGAAACAATCTAGATTCTCAGTATACAGTATTTAAATATCTTTGTTTTGTTAAGTAGTGAAACACTTCACTCAAAATCATTGATGAAAATGGAAATGCAGCTCACTAAGTCTCCACCCCTCTTTCCTATCCTACCCCCTACCCCACACCTAGAAGTTCAGGGATCTTTGGAAGCACAATTTGAAATTTATGGTATAATTAATTTTTCAAAGCCAGGTCAGCATGCAAGATTTATTTTATCATATTCTCAAATTTCTTTTTAGAAAATATTTAACAAGTAATATTTACTCACTTATTTCCCTGTTAGTCTAGTCTAAAAAAAAAAATAATAAATATCACTTCTGTAGCAGATATTCTAAAATTGGAGCAGTACAAAATTAGCACGGTCACTGTGCTCATATTTTTAAATTAAATTAAAATAGTAACAACACAAAGGAAGACTAGAAGACATGATGGATATTTAGAATTTGAATACTTATGAGCTAAGTCACAAATAAATAAACATAAAACAAATAAATAAATATGACCTAGATTTTTTCTTCCCTATAAGAGTAATGTGTGAAAAATGTGATTTATCTGTCACATGTAACTTGCCATGTAACACACATTAGGCTGAAAGCCAACAAATGAGGGCACCAAATCTAATGGTTTATAGAAAACACAGAAGCCAAAAGAAAAATATATTAAATGAAAGTACAAAGATGGCACGAACATAATCCGGACTCTGACAAACTTCACAGGAACTAACTGTAACAGATTAAGCTACAAAGAACAGAAATGGAAGCACCTACAGACAAGATCTTAAGAGTAACAGGAACCAATCTCAAGGAATGGACATTGACTGGAGCCTAATTATAGAAACTGGAATACTGCCATGATATTTGAGAACACTAAGAAATCAGTTTTGTCTTTAGGTGTGATAATGGCATTGTGAACTCCTTTGCCAAGTCTTTATCTTTCAAAATACAACATAAAATATTTACAGATGAAATGACATCTTGGATTTGCTTTTATAATCCAAAGTTAGTAGGAAAAGAGGGGGACTCACTGAACTGTTGTCTTTATTTTTGGTGATATATAAAATTTTCCATAATAAAAAATTAAAAGTACACAACAACTTTAGAACTAAAGCAGGTATTCTTTTTTTTTTTTGAGTTGGAGTTTCACTCCATTGCCCAGGCTGGAGTGCAGTGGCACACTGACGGCCGCCCCAGTGTCTATCTGCTGGGCTCAGGCTTCCAAGTAGCCAGAACTACAGGCGTGCACTACCACACCCGACTAATTTTTTGATGTACTGCTGAGATGAGGTCTCACCAAGTTGCCCAGGCTGTTCTTGAACCCATGGGCTCAGGCAATCCCTCATCTCGGTCTCCCAAAGTGCTGGGATTACAGGTTTGAGCCACGGTGTCCAGCCTAAAGCAGGTATTCTTTTTTTTTTTTGAGTTGGAGTCTCACTCTGTCACCCAGACTGGAGTGCAGTGGCACGCTCCCGGCCACTGCAGCCTTGACCTGCTGGGCTCCAGTGATCTGCTTCCGCCTCAGTCTTCCAAGTAGCTAGAACTACAGGCGTGCACTACCACGCCTGGCTAATTTTTTTGATTTTATTGTAGAGAAGAGGTCTCGCCAAGTTGCCCAGGCGGGTCTCGAACCCATGGGCTCAGGCAATCCACTCACCTCAGCCTCCCAAAGCGCTGGGATTACAGGCTGAGTCACCGAGTCCGGCTAGCAGGTATTCTTAACTGTTTATTGTGCCATGAACCTTCCTCTTGGTAGTGTGATGAATCCTACGGATTTCTTCTCAGAAAAATGTTTTAAATGAGTAATCTATAATATACACTGCATTCAATATTACACGTTACAAAGAATTATACTAAAATTCTGTTACCACAATATTTTAAGAATAAATTCAAGTCGGTGGCTCACACTTCTAATCTTAGCACTTTGGGAGGCCAACATGGGAGGATTGTTTGAGTCCAGGAGTTCAAGAGAGAGTACATAGTAAGACCGCATCTCTACAAAAAAATTTAAAACATTAGCCAGGTGTGGTGGCATGCACCTGTAGTTTCAGCTACTCGGGAGGCTAAGGCCGGAGGATCACTTCAGTTCAAGAGGTCAAGGCTACAGTGAGCCAGGACCACACCACTGTACTCCAGCCAAGGCAAAAGAGTGAAACTCTGTCTCAAAAAAATGTGTGATATGGGTATGTATGTGCTTCTATATTAGGTCCATTATCCATGGGTCTAGTAATTATTTGGAAGTAAGGCTGAATGTAATGTGATAGGAAAACACGCATAACCCCTATGATAAATATACAAGTACTGCTGATACTTCTGTGATTTGCTTCCTATAGCCACAATCAAAGATCAATTAGATGTTAATAAAAATAAAGACCTAAACATTTCCCCATATCAATTCTCTCCTTATAACTCAGATCAAAGACCTCTTATTTGCTGGCTTAATTGCTGAGCAATACTCACATATGGAGGCATCATAGCTCTATACTGGGAAGCAAGGGCACTCTGCTGTCCATTCAGTTTAGCCTGTGGAGGACCACAAGCTATCCTCTTTTCCACCACTTTGAGGATATCATTCTGTTCTGATGTTCCACTTGTGCTTTCATCCTGGCTAGGAAGCTTTTCATCTTGATCAGATGAAGGCGAGCCAGCAGACTTACCACCATCTCTCCAACATGCAACATCTGTTGTGAAGAGGAAGGAGGAAGAAAAAAGAAAAACTATCTCAAAAGGGAACCAAGTGAAACCAAACTAAGCACATTCCAGGAAAATGTAAGCCAAGTAAGCACAGCAGAAGAGCAGGATCTATGCCCTACTAGTGCTTTCAAGGCATTTAGCAGTGGCTTTCAAAACAGAGAGGATGTACCTCACCGGGTGCAACCAATAGCAAACAGTGGGACTGGGGAAGAAAATGTTAGAACTTCTCTATGAAGCTTTTGGAATATCTGAAGATTTAAATCACTATACTCCATGTGTCATGAGGTCATGTTTCAGAATATGACAGACCTGAGGTTTTCTGAGGAATGAAAGGAAGAAAGGTGGGAGTGCTACATTCTGGAAGGGCTGACAGTGACACTCTCATTTGTTTTCATCTACTAATGTTAGTTACATGTGCTCAGGTGAATAGATTTAGTGACATTATCCAGTTCATCTACATAACCAAATAAAACAGCTAATTGGTTTTGCAAGGTTTTATGTGTTCTGCGTGGTAACCAGTCTCCAAGATGGCCTGACTGGTCTCCACCTCCGGGCATTCACATTCTTTGTAGTCCCTTCTCACAGTATATATCATAGTTGGTCTGTGTAACCTATAGAATACAGCAAAAGTGATAGCATATCCTTTCAAGTACAGGTTAAAGAAGCCCTGTGGGCTTCTGTTCTGGGTAAGGAAAGTTTGCCTGTCTCACCACTTATTCTGGGGAAGCCATGTTATAAGGCCAACATACTGAAGAGCCAATGGCTTACACAAGTCAGTTTGGAAGTACAACCCAAGCCAATGATAGTTTCATTGTAGCCTTGTGGGAGAGTCCCTTGACCAGAACCTCTAGCTAAGTTGTTCCTGGATTCCTGACCCTTACAGACTGTGGGAGATCATAAGTACAGTTCAGCTTACTGGTTTTCATTGTTAAACTTGTTATGCAGCAATAGATAATTGGTGGAAATTCAACTCACAAGAAACACTGCTGACTCATCTATTCATAATGAATTTATTAAGCATATTACAATAATTTAAAAAGGTAACATAAATTTAGTCTGGCAGGGCATGGTGGCTCACTCCTGTAATCCCAACACTTTAGGAGACCAAGGCAAGAGGATCACTTGAGCCCAGGAGTTTGAGACCAGTCTGGGCAACATAGCGAGGCCTCACCTCTACAAAAAAAATTAACTGGGCATGGTGGCATGGGCCTGTAGTCCCAACTACTTGTGAAGCTGAGGCAGAAGGATCATGCCATGGCACTCCAGCCCGGGCAACAGAGTGAGACTCTGACTCAAAAAAAGAAAAAAAATATGGTTTTATAGTAAATGTTACTATCAAGAGAAATCTCCCCAAGTGTTTAGGGTACTTTAAAATGTTAGGTATTGACAACATGAAGCTATCTCAATTAATAAAACATTTAAAACATCTCATTTTATATTCCTATTGTTTGTTTTTGCTTCACAATGCGCATAATGTATCCTACACTATCAAAAATGATGTTTTTCCAGTTTGAGTTCAGAAGGCAAGGGATCACTGAATATTAATCACAGTAAATAAATGGATACAATTTATAAATAAATAGTTGTATACTGAGGAAGTTTGCTAAAAATTTGTAAAAGAGTCCAAATATTAGAGCACATGTAAGTAAACTAGAGACTTTGGTACAATGCAGATTTTGATTTAGTGAGTAGCATATGAGGCCCAAGATTATACATTTCTAAAAAGTTCTCAAGTTATAGTAATACTGTTGATATAAAAAAAAACTAGCCGGGCTCAGTGGCTCAGTCTGTAATCCCGCGCCTTTGGGAGGCTGAGGTGAGTGGATTGCCTGAGCCCGCGAGTTCGAGACCCGCCTGGCCAACTTGGCGAGACCTCATCTCTACAATAAATCAAAAAATTAGCCGGTCGTGGTAGCGCGCGCCTGTAATTCCAGCTACTCGGATGGCTGAGGCGGAAGGATCGCCAGAGCCCAGCAGGCGAGGCTGCGGTGGCCGGGAGCAGCCACTGCACTCCAGTCTGGGTGACAGAGTGAGACTCCAACTCAAAAAACAAAAAAACAAAAAAAAAACTAGTAGTAAGTGACTACAGTACTAGTCTGCCTTCTCAAACTAGGCAATTCACATACAACAGGCAGTAGGAGGTTATGTCACAAAATAAGAAACAAATATCATCTTACTCTGTATTTTTATTAAAGAGAAAGCACTCTTACTCGGTGGACGTAAACTGGGTCCAGGTCCATAGTTGTCATCATTTGGTTCCTTTTCTTTTTTTTCCTGATCCCCAGCTGCCTGTAGGCTGGGAAATTCCTGCTGAAACTGACTATTCACTTGGATTCCTATAGATAAAAAAAAAATCCAAAACATTAAAGTTAACTTTTATACTGAAGATAATTCAAACCACTCTCCTAGGAGAGCGCTCTCTGTCTCTTTCTGATAAATTATTCCACATTTCAATAATGACTGTATATATTCATAAAACTTTTAAACTCACTTAGGATTCTCTGAAAAGTTAATGAACAGCCATGAGGAGATGAAAATCTATGAAACGAATCTTCCAGATACCATTCCAGAGGACTCATTAAAGATTATCAGGCAAGTGAGAAGCGTTTCACTTGTTTTTGTTTTATCATCACTCTTTACATTCTCAATATAAGTCAAATTCCTTTGCTAAAAAATTCTAAGAATTAGTTCAAATCTTATTACTGGAATCAAATTTTATGCATAAAGATTGTATACATATCAAGGTGAGGCTAAAATGCCTTAATTTAACTTACTGTTTTCATTTAATGTGCTTTGATTTAACTTACAGCTGAGACTGACTGTACCTCACAATTCACCTATTCACCCATCTAACTCCCTATCTGCCTATCTATTTTTATACTTCTATAAACTAAAAGAGCTAGTTTTATTAAGCATGAGGCCTAAACTGGTTCTTCCATAGAATGTTTTACAGCAAGTTCCTGTTCTGTAAGTGGAAAAATTAATTCTGCTAGGGATTCCATCATTCCTTGGGGGAGTCCTGCAGCTACTGTGCTTTGTGGCTACTCTCCAGCTTTTCTCCACCCTGAGAATCATGACAGTATGTGTGAAACAGTGGAGACTGGAAATACAGACGAGGATGCATGCATCCACGCAATAACTAGTTTTTATGTCTGAAAGACCTGAAGGTACAGGCTTTCTCTGGATGTGTTGGGGTAAAGATAAAATAATATGGGACAGAAGGTACCTTAAAGACTACATTTTTAATCACTATCACTGACTCATACATGGCTCTCCACAGTGAAATTTAGCAAGCTCAAGAGATTTTTTAAAAGATAGGTTTTAAAGGCCTCAGTATATCCTTTGACAATGTTCTCTGGCTCTACCAAAACATGCCCACCCTTATCTCCTGCACAGCTAGCTGCTCAGTAACTATCAAGTCTAACCAGTTTCCCCAGCTAAAATTCACTTACCATCTCCTTGCCCACCTTGCTTGTTACTGGCCCATGATTTGGGAGCAGGTGCTACTTCCGGGGGAGTTGCAACCCCAGGTTTTGGCTGTGCTGGTGGCACTTCTGGTGTTCTTTAAAAAAAAAACCCCAAATAACATGAGTCCATTATTTCAGGTATGGCATATTAAAATAAAATATTATATTTAAATTTGTATACAAATTATTTGGCTACATCATTTACTCAAAGATAAATCTCACATAAATGTTTTCCCTCTGCAACGTTCCTTTAGATAAATTATGGCTATTTTTGTCCCCTTTCATATTTTCCTTTGAGTAACTCAATGAGATGATAGCTTTATTTGTTTTCCATTTTGTTTTTTAAGAAAAGGAGAAAAAAAGTATTTTATTTATTTTTGTGAGTCAGGGTCTTACTCTGTCACCCAGGCTGGAGTATAGTGGCATAATCATGATTCACTGCAGCCTCAACCTCTTAGGCTCTAGCAATCCTTCCACCTCAGCCTTCTGAGTAACTGAAGGTATGTACCACCACACTTAGCTAATTTTTTGATTTTCTATAGAGACAAAGTCTTTTTATATTGCCCAGGCTGGTCTTTAACACCTGGGCTCAAGGCACCCTCCCACCTCAGCCAACCAAAGTGCTGGAATTACAGACATGAGCCATTGTGCCCAGCAAAACACTTTTTAAAAAAAACCTTCCTTTCCTTCCTCCCCTCTGCAAAACACTTAATATTCAACATAGTTACCAAAAATCTATTTTAAGGAAGTGAACATTTATAATTCAAATTAACAGTGTATGCATACATACAGTCTGGACAGATGGAACGAGTCAGGGTCTAAGGCTAAGTAAACTCTCCATCTGACTAGCAACAGGTTGGTCACTGTACTTATTACTGTTATTCAAAGAGATAATAGCAACCTGCCTGGTCCATTCCCATGTGTAAAAGGTATTTTAAAAGGGTGTATCATTTCATTCAATCCTTGTAAAGAAGTAATGCTTTAAAAACGAGAATGTTTCTAGTCTCATGAAATGCAATATATTTCTGGTATACTCAGACTGGTTATTTACTATGGATAATTCCACGATAATGAACAAGCCACAAATAGTCCTTGATATACTTCTATGTAAGTAGTCAATCTTACTACAAAAAGCTTTTCAGGAAGGACTACAGAATTTTGGTAACAGATATATGCAAACAAACAAAAAACAAGAACCCAATGGCTTGTTTTTGGTTTTTTTTAATTACCACTATTTAGCTTGGTCATTCAATTAACTGACAACCTGGTACAATCTCTGTCACAGAGAAAGCTAAGTATTTGCTGAAAGAATAATAATTAAGATAGACACTAATAATTCTATATTAGCTTTCTCGCTAGAATATATACAAATATTACTTGAGCACCTATGACACATCAGGCACAGTTTCAATGCTGGAGATACACAGTGAATCAGGCAGACAGCCTTAGTATCATGAAATTTAGGTAACAGAATCAATTCTTAATTATATTAGAAAAAGAATGCCTGTGTTGGTCACAATGAGGGGAGAGAGCCTAATACAGGCTATGACATAAGCAAAGTTTTAATTAGCAATTTTGTCATCAGTCCTACCTTGACAAACAGAAATACTGCCACTAAACCCACTCATAGGAAAAATTAATCGGGCAACCCCTTTGGGTCCCCTCCAACTGTGGGAGCTTTTCTGTCCTCTCAATAAATCCTGCTTTCTCACTTTCCAAAAAAAAGAGAAGAAAAATTAATCAAGCGTTACTATATCATCAAAGATTTTAAAGATCATGAAATATGTAAGTAACACAGCACTTAGCACACAGCAGGTACTCAAACTTAAGTTCCCTATCAAGAAAGAGGAAGAGTTTCATTCTTTAAGACTTTGACTCACTTTTCTTCTTCATGCTGCTCTTGTTTAGATGCCCACCCTGTGCCATCTTTAGGTACAATGTTCACATTAGGATCATTGCCTTTGTTTTCTGCTTTGAGACTTGGGAGGTTAGCAGGTGGAGGCATACGCCGTGAAATACCAACTTTTCCAAGACTCTGTAATCCATGTCGAGCTGCAACTAAAGATCAATAACATCAACTTTCTTAGAACATCTTATTTTATCCTTCAAATGATAGCAGAAAAACGATGGGAATTAATGGAATCCCTGTACAATTATTCCTAATATTTTGTCTGTCTGTCTATCGATCGATCGATTGAGTCAGAGTCTCACTCTGACGCCCTGGCTGGAGCGCAGTGGCACGCTCCCAGCCACTGCAGCCTCTACTTACAGGGTTCAGGCAATCCGTCTGCCTCAGCCTTCCAAGCAGCTAGAACCACAGATGTGAGTCACCACACCCGGCTAATTTTTTATTTTTATTATAGAGATGAGGTCTCACCAAGTTGCCCAGGCTGGTCTCGAACCCCTGGGCTACAGCAATCCTCTTGCCTCCACCTCCCAAAGTGCTGGGATTATAGGCATGAGCCACTGCGCCCAGCTAATCCTAATATTTTAAAATAAGAAGTCCAATCTAAGCTACACACCTGCAACATAATTCAATGTAGAAGCCATTTAACAGATGGCTTAAAAATTCTAACAATGCAATGCAACACACTACAAAAAAGAAAACACTAATAATGCTGGTCTTAATTTTTTTTTCAGGGCACCTCTCTCAAAATCAAAACTTAGAACGTTAAGAAAATAAATATGTTGACTTCATGCTCATAACAAATACTGCCCATGTACCATACATACATAGTCCAGTTTTTCAGCTTTTACTATATACACAAGGCTCAAAGTACTTATTAAAAAAAAAAATGCAGGACTTTCTATTCTATAACTAAAGAGGTAGTAAATACCACTAAATAGCTCTATGCCTATCAATGTCATTAACTGAATCTCTCCTTTGGAGTTATACTATTCTACTTATTTTCTGCTGAAAACAAACAGGAAAAAATAAAAATATTTTTAAAGTTTACATTTTTGACTATTAATATATTTAATCCATATCTCCCCCCCCAAAATGTGTATAAAAAGGCAAATGCAGAGCCTTAGGTATGTCTTAGCTTCTAACAGCAGCAGGGTGTACCATTTACAGGAACAAAATAAAATTGTGAAAAATGTGTCACTTGATTTTACTCACCTGTGGTTTTCTGAGTTTCTAATGATTTACCCTTGTATGTATTAAATAAACTGAGTGTTGCATACTTTTTCCCATCCTTTGCTTTTGTGCTCTGGCCTGACTTCTCCGACATTTCGGTGGAAACTCATCGAGTCCAAAACCTCCTGCCACCCCTTAAAACCAGTCTTTAAGATGCACATATGAAGAAAAAAAAAAAAAGGAGAAAAAAATTCAGTAAATTCAAGCATTCACAGAATTACAAAAAATATACTGAGAAATCTTCAATAACACATATTAATGATAATTTCATAAACGTTTTTCACAAATTCCAAAAACCAATACAAACAAAATTAATCATAATAAACTACCATGCACTTAATAATTATATTAGCTATTTATAGTATATAACTGTGTAACTCTAGCATAGAGAATAAGGACCATTTGAATCAGGGGAACTGAAGAAATAAATATAAACAGAAAATAAGGACCATAATTTATGCTGAGATACATAGTTCAAATACAGTGAATCTATGGAGACAGACTATTTAATAAAGACATTACTCAATTTAATAGGCTTGAAATGACTGACAGTATCAGCCCACACACATGAAATGCAAATGAGATCATTCTTCCTATTAACTGTATACATGTGATTTCAGTCAGTATGTGCCTAACAAAGTTCCATTAATTTAACAGTTTAGAACAGAAAGAACATTCTGTAAAGGGTAGAACATTTCCGTACAAACACAAGGTACACAAAAATAACCAACTTCGCCAGGCACAGTTGGCTCAAGTCTGTAATCCCAGCAGTTTGGGAGGCCGAGGTGAGAGGACTGACTGAGTCCAGAGGTTCGAGACCAGCCTGGGCAACTTGGTGAGACCTCGTCTCTACAATAACAACAACAACAACAACAACAACAAAAAACCATGCATAGTAGCGCACGCCTGTAGTTCCCACTACTTGGAAGGTTGAGCTGGAAGGATTGCTGGAACTCAGGCAAGTCAACGCTGGGGTGGTCATTAGCATGCCACTGCACTCCAGCCTGGGCGGCGGAGTGAGAATCCAATTCAAATAAATAAATAAATAAAAACCAATTTCAAAGCTTTGGACTATGTGTTCAAGAAATGGTATACATTTTTGTAAGAACATATAAAAAGTCCCTTTATTTATGAGAAGTTGTTAGAAATAAATAGCATTTTAATGAACAGTTAATATAAACAAAGAGAATCTTCATCTTTGGAGCTAATGTACCCTAACCTTGGAGACGCACCTTAATAACTAAAGCCAGTCTATTAGTACATAGGAGAAAAAGACAAAAATTATCCCTCATACTATTTCCCTTCAATTTAATAAATTTGTATACACATATGAAATTAAGAGTTTTTTTTTGAGATGAGTGTGAGAGCAGGGTATAAGGTGGCTAACTGTATCATAGAAATCATCAATAGCTAAAAACATTGAGAACTGAATGAAGCACAGGAGGCAAATATAGTATAGAACAGGCATATCACGCAAAAAGCAAAAGTAAAGCCTGCAGACTTCACCATTATAAAAATCATTTTATCAGGCCAGGCTCATGGCTCAGTCTGTAATCCCAGCACTTTGGGAAGCCAAGGTGAGCAGACTGCTTGAGCCCGCGGGTTTGAGACCAGCCTGGGAAACTTGGCGAGATCTCATCTCTACAATCAATCAAAAATTAGCCAGGCGTGGTAGTACGCGCCTGTAGTTCCAGCTACTCAGAAGCTGAGGTGGAAGGATTGCCGGAGCCCAGCAGGTTGATGCTGGGGTGGCCTTGAGTGTGCCACTGCACTCCAACCTGGGCGATGGAGTGAGACTCCAACTCAAAAACAAAAACCAAAAAACCCATATTATCTATCAATTTTACATTTCTCAATTACAGAATCAGCATTGCACACAGAGAAGTCATTTTATATGTACATGAAATAGCATTCAATGTTTGTGTAGATCCATAAAATTTATCAAGCCTTTTCATACCTATTATCTCATTTCAGTCTAATAACTCTCTGATACATTTTACTTTCATTTTACAGATGAAGAAAGACTAGACTGGATTTGAAACTAAGACTTTAATTTCTTTCATTACACAGTGCTGCCTCCTCCCTTATTAACAGGGTGAATAACATTCCAAGTATGCATTTACAATAAACCACCTTTCCTTGAGACAATACGAAACCAACTAACACACCTGCAACCGATAGAACAATTTGCTATCACACGTTGAAGGACATAGACGATTATATCCCAAGAATGCCAAAAATGATGGTGGTGTGAAAGATTTACTCCTTAACAGGGTGAATAACATTCCAAGTATGCATTTACAATAAACCACCTTTCCTTGAGACAATACGAAACCAACTAACACACCTGCAACCAATAGAACAATTTGCTATCACACGTTGAAGGACATAGACGATTATATCCCAAGAATGCCAAAAATGATGGTGGTGTGAAAGATTTACTCCTGCAATCTATCCTGTTGGCAAACTTTTTTCACCAGTAAAATAGACAAAGATATACAAAGAATATCCAACCATAGTAACAAAAGAGGAACAGTAAATGTTCATGTGACAAAAATCACAATTCAAAAGCTGTTTCATCAGGCGAAAAAAAGGGAAATGTATCAAGAAAAACAGTAAACTTGCTCAAGTTATTTAACACCTAAGAATTTTCAAATCTTTTTTTTTTTTTGGAGTCACAGTTACACTCTTTCCCAGGCTAGAGTGCAGTTGCACAACCAGGACTCACCACAGCCTCAATGTCCTGGGGTCAGGTGATCTTTTGCCTCAGCCTCCCAAATAGCTGGGAATACAGACGTGCACCGGTTAACTTTCTGATTTCTTTGTAGAGACAAGACCAGCCTAGGTCTCAGGCAATCCTCCTGCCTTGGCCTCCCAAGGTGCTGGGATTACAGCTGTGGCCAAATTTTGGCCTTTTCTTAACACCATCACTACTCAAGCAATACTCTCGGCACAGACCCTTTCTGTACATCCTAAGAGAGAGCAAGAGCAACATCATGAGAAAAGAACTCCTTAAATGTCCTAGGAGCAAATCTCCAAGCTCATCTGTATCTACATCCATCCTGTCCTTTCCCCTACCAATTACAATACTACAGCCGTTCTCAGCAACACCTGGTAACTCATTAGAAATGCAAATTATCAGGTCCCACCCCACACCTACTTCATCAAACTGTGGGGGCCCACCACTGTTTTACCAAGTCACTGAGACTGATTCTGAGATTCACAAAACCTTAGGACCTACTGACTTACTAAAAGCAGATATATCCTAAACAGTGATTCTCAACCCTTGCTGCATACCTATACAGGATGGGGGAGGGGGCTGGCCTGTCGTGTCTCCCCCCCATATATCACACAGGCAGATCTTGAACTCCTGGTCCTCAAAGGATCCTTCTCCCAAAGTGCTGAAATTACAGGCACCAGGCCTGTTATGTTTTTAAAACAATTCTTCAAGTGATTCTTAATATGTAAGTCATTTGAGAATCATTTCAATAAAGGAAGTTTATCTTTCCTCCCATTTCATTTAAGTTCAGTCCTTCCTCTAGTGCTCCAGATTCTGTCCCCACTTCCTTTGCCATCTAAACTCTTCTCTGTAGGGAATCTCATTAACTCCTATGGCTTTAACTGATTATCTCCAGCCCAGCACTCTATACTTCTGAGGAATGTACCCTACTGCCTATTTACATTTCAACTTTAACAAGAACAAAGACATCTATTTCATATCAAGGCTTTAAGAAGCAAACCCAAAATAAGAGAAAAGCATAAGCAAAATGGAGGAAATAACCAACATTTAACAAAATGTAACTATGTTCCAAGAACTCAGCTGGGCACGGTGGCTCACACATGTAATCTTAGCACTTTGGGAGGCTGAGGAGGAGGAGCATTAGTAGAGACCAGGAGTTTCAGCCTGCAGAGAGCTATAATTGCACCACTGCATTCCAGCCTGAGCAACAGAGAAAGACCCTGTCTCTCAAAAAAACGCAATGAATTAAAAAGAAAAACTCGGTCAGGCGTGGTGGCTCAAGCCTATAATCCCAGCACTTTGGGAAGCTGAGGTGAAAGGATTGCCTGAGCCCACATCTCTATAATAAATTAAAAAATTAGCCGGGCTCGGTGGCTCAGCCTGTAATCCCGCGCCTTTGGGAGGCTGAGGTGAGTGGATTGCCTGAGCCCGCGGGTTCGAGACCCGCCTGGGCAGCGAGACCTCATCTCTACAATAAATCAAAAAATCAGCCGGGCGTGGTAGCACATGCCTGTAATTCTGGCTACTTGGAAGGCTGAGGCGGAAGGATCGCCGGAGCCCAGCAGGTCGAGGCTGCGGTGGCCGGGAGCGGCCACTGCACTCCAGTCTGGGCGACAGAGTGAGACTCCAACTCAAAAAAAAAAAAAAAAAAAAAAAAAAAAAAAAATTAAAAAATTAGGTGGGCGTGATAGCATGCACCTGTAGTTCCGGCTACTTGGAAGGCTGAGGTGGAGGGATAGCCTGAGCCAAGCAGGTCGATGCTGGGTTGACTGTGAGGAGCATGCTACTACACTCCAGCCTGGGAGACAGAGTGAGACTCCAACTCAAAAGAAAAAAAAACACCTCAATAAACTGGAAAAAAAATTAAGGTTTTCTAAATGAACAATTCACTAGAGAAATATTAGTAAGTAGATGTATTATCCCTACTTAACATCAATACAATGCCAATTCTTCTCAACTATGCATCAAAAAGATTATGCACCACGACCAAGTGATTTATTACTAGGATATAATTAACATATGCAAATCAATGTGATACACCACATTAATGAAAAATAAAACCTGAAGGATGTCATCTGAATAACTGGAGAAAAAACATTTGACAAAGTTCAACATCCTTTCATGATAAAAACTCTCAACAAAATAGGCAAAGAAAATTTCCTCAACACATAATAAAAGCCATTTAAAAAGATCCCACAGCCAACATCATAATCAATGGAGAAAACCTGAAAGCTTTTTCTCTGAGGTCTAGTACAAGCCTAGGATGTCCATCTTGCCATTTCTATTCAACACAGTACTCGAAGTATCAGCAGCAACAATCAGATAAAAGAAAGAAACAAAAGGTATCCAAAACGGAAAAAAAGAATTAAAAGTATTCCTGTCTGCAAATGACAAGATTCTATAAGT